GTAAAAATTCATACACGCATGTAGAGATTTTATTTTTATACTTTCCTCGTATAACATAAATTTGTTGGAATATAGTAGTTGAGCACTTAAAAGTTCCATCCATAAACCAAGTTTCCATGTAAGATAAAATATTTAAAGCGAAATTAGAGAAAAAAATCAAAATTCGTGAATCAGCTTGTTTATTGTCAAAAATCAAAAATGGCTTAAGTTCAGCACCCATCGTAGTTGTCCACTCATCAGGAAGACAAAAATTTACATTTAATGGTTCATCGGGGAATTTTCTATGTCGATAATTTCGTATGTTACGTTTTATGGAAGACAAATTGCCAAGTGTCACCACTGTATCTTCAAAAATATTGTGCATGATAGTCGAAACCAATTGACTAGGAGTTTCTCGTGTGTCTAAGGCTCTTTTTTATATTATGTTTAATAACAGTTATTTCGCAAATTTCACTATTTGAAATGTGACTATGTGACACTATATTTGAATAGTTTATATACTGAAATAAAATTAATGATTTCACCTTACATTATACATTACAATACATACAATAATATAAATTTTTACTAATTTAAAACGTACGGGTTTAATTAAATTTGTTGTAATTTTTCCCGGACATTTTAATGACGTATTTTGTGAACATTTCCACCTAATAGTATTATTATTTTTCTTAAAATAACATACGAATAATTATTGTACAGCATTAGTTCATTTCCCTTTTCAGAACTTTCCATTATAATTTATAAGTAATAACAAAATTTACAAAATTGGAAATTATGTGCACGTGGCAATATGTTAAATGTTTATCAGTTGTACTAGTCGCATAAAACCCATGCAATATTTTAATTCATCGTTATCGACATTATCATTTTTCGTTGTAGATTAGATTAATACTTACCTACAAAGTCATGCAGTACTTATCTTATGTATATATGCTTCATGATTATTTTTATAGTTTAAGAAACCCTGGTGTTTAACGACCGTACCAATATTCCACGTTCGAAACGACCGTAATAATTTTCCGACAATCATTCAATTCATGAAATTACTTAAGTCACCAAAATGACTTATATGCGTACATATAATTTTGGATATGTCTAATCTATATGTCAATAGCGTAAGCCTTAAGTCGATTAACGACCACAACTGACTAGATGATGAACATAATAATATGATTGCGAAAAAAAAATATTGATAAACCTAATAACATACGTGAACACGTATCATTAAAGCCACTGGAAAAATTTTGTATTTCCGTTCCAACGCAGCCGATCGAGCGGACTTTAATAACATAGAGAACGAGACCAGCAATTTCGAAATCATTTCCGTCGACATAGCGTGATTTTTACGACAATTCTCTTTCTGTCTCATATATTTATTTTGGACGTGCAGTATTACTATCACACGATCACGTCATCTCCTCCACACGTGCAAACAATAATAATATTTTATTATTTTTACAATTTTTTTTTAATTTTTTTTGTCACGTAAACATTTTGTTGGTCACCGACTGCTATGTATGGCGGTGAATTCGTTGTACCGACAGCAGCGGAAGCGCAGACACGTCCGATGACAATTGTGGACAACGTTTCCTTTCCAATCATCACGATGACCGGTGAGGTGCAAGCATGCACATTCCAACGACCATTCGATTCCTTCCACCGGCTGCTTTTATTTCGCCAGTCCTAACAAGAAATGGACGATTTACGAAAAACACAAGCGACCAAAATCGTATGCGGTCTCCGATAACGTAGCGAAGCAGTTGTCGGAGCAGGACCCGTTTTCGAAGCGAGAAGAATTATGGTAGGACGATGAACTACCAGGGAAAGATGAGAGGCCAGGGCCAAAAAATAAGCAACTAAAATAAAGCAAGGTGATGGAGAAAAACCAATCGTCGAAAAAAGTTCGACCAACGAAGAACTTGTCGGAGGAAGACAAGTGGTCGGCTGGAACAGCGAAAACGGTCGGTGAAGGACTTAGCGGTCGGTGCCAAACGTCGCCAAAGGAGCCGGAGTACGGACGACCGCGGACGACCGCGGACCGTGACAACGAGTACACCCTATACCAGCGGCGACCGTCTCTCACCGATATGTAACGTTCAGCCACCGTTGAAGTTCAAAAAGCGGGAAACGTTCCAGGGCGACCGCAGCAGTAGCAGACAATCATCCTGCCCGGCCGACCGTTACCGCTGTTATTACCGATGATTACCGATGTTGGTTACCGTTCGGTCAGAATTGTCATGGTGAGCCGGCGGTGAGTTTGCGCGATAACCGACAAGTATACCACAGTGGTAATAACAGCACGGCACAGCGCTAATAATAAATATTTCGATTGCACGCGCGATCGCGTGTAACAATAATAGTATTGGCAATAATAATATATGTAATATAATAATAAATGTTATTACTATCATAACTTCTTGTGCATAATCATCATATTACACGTTAGAACTGTGTTATAATAATAATATAATGTTATGTGCGTATATGATATTATGTTATTCGGCACTGCACGAAAATCGAAAACATAATCGTCGTCGTCCATTCCGGTTGAGATAAGACTACTACGACGATGACGACGTACTTCGTACGATATTATTTATATGTACAACCCCTTTCGTTAGCCCACTCGAACGCGCAGAAATTTTCGTTTTTTTATATCTCCTTTTCGCGTGTTTAATTCCACTCTTGTAATTAATATAATTCGAGCCCGTCATGATCGGAATATTGTAACAAATTAACTTTAAAACACGGCTATATATATTTGTTTATCAATACTATAGATGCACATAGTATTACAAAAACGTCAGTACGAGACCAATAAACAGCCAAGGAAATAAAATCACTACACAAAAAAAAATTATCAACTCCACGTGTTAATAATTTTAATTAATTTTAATTAATACAAAACCACACGATAAAACGACAAAATGAATTATTTTTTGATTATGATTTTTATTTAATTATGATTACGAAAATAATATAATGTAAAGGTTGAACTGGTCGAAGAGACGTTTTTGTGGCGTTAAATAGAGTCCAAAGAATTGTCCAGAATCATCACCACGTTTACGTTTTTAATCCATTAAATGGATTGTTGTCTACCGGTTTAAAAAATAAACATTTAAAAATGATAAAAATAACAGAATAATCAGTACTGCGATTTTTAACAAACATTTTTTTAAAGGTGTATACAGATCTTCGATAGAAATATAAATATTAATTTATATATATTTTTATTTCTTCAATATAGTTAATCAAATAATTTAGCAAACGCAATCCTTTAATAAATAAACCATAAATTTATTTTTTCCCACTTAATCATTTAACTGAATTATTATTGTATAAATTCAGATTCATAATACCCCAGTGATATGAAGAATTATACATCAATTGTCGTCCAGTTATGACGTATTAAACCGCACTCAACTCGACTAGTGGCATGATAATGTTGTTGATCCTAATGTTAGTTCTGATTCATCACTGACCTCTAACATTTTAATCGTGGTTAGCAATAACAGTGTTGAACTCATTTCTCGTGAGGAAAAAAATGTATGTAATATATTCCCCATCCCCTTAGCTATCCTAATTACGTTCAATAATTATATAAATATACCCGTTGTGGATCCTAGGGGAGGTTATAGAGTCACTTCCTCTATGACCCATTATATAATATACTCATAATATAATGGTAATATGTTACATTTTAAATGTTTGTAAGTTTTTTATTATTGTCTTGAAATCATCTTTTATTTTGTAACATTCTATAATTTGTATAAAAAATATTGTTGGCAGAGGGCACACCAAGGGTTCTGTATTATAATTATGTTATATGGGCTTAAGCAATTGCGGTTACTAAACTAATTTCTAGAAACCAACCACCTTATTAGTATATTCCTAATAATATATTGTAACTGACCGACGACGACCACTGCATAAACAGACTGATGTTTTTGGTGTACTTATTTATTACTACATTTTAAACTATAATTAACAGGATTTGTGCTGTAAAGTAGCGTATTTCATCCATTTTTCATTCGCGTACTCCTTAACCTCTCGCCATTGCTTTACGTACCCCCCAATAAGAAATTACAAAATAAGTTTGATTGGAATATATTTTACAATTCAATTTTAATTTAATCCTTGGGGTTGTTTGATAACACTTAATTTTTTAAATCTGGTTCCACAGATGATAAGTAAACTCGAAAGTCTAAACTTACAAGAATTCTATAACGATATTTATTTTTAATGAACGTGTATGACAAAAAATACTCGTTATCAAATATTTCATAAATAATTTATTAATTAAAATACATAAATTTTTATATTTTTCTTCATTACCCTTTTTTCCGATTACCATTTCATTAAAATGTCGTATGCCACCAGGTATACGCATACCTCCGGGTGAGAAATACTGCTATAGATTGTAGGATGTAGGTTATATAAGTAAGACATATATTTGTACACGTTGTATATTTCTATTTTCTATAATATATTTAGATAATTACGTATTTTCTGCAGACGGATTACCCATCCACCAAAAATTTTGAAAAAGTAATTTCCAAAATAATACCTTCACCATATCACTACTAAATATTAATATAAAGATAAAATTCACTGTTGTTTAAAGCCTTAATTTCATGTACTGCATAAACACTAGTTATTTCAGTATCATTATTGTTAAAATACAATAGCAAGTGTTTAATAATAAGCCTGGAAGTATAATTCAATCAATTAATATAACATTTATATATACATATTGCCTATATCTTAGCTCCTCAACATGGTAGTTTTATACCATCTTGTTAACCAATAATAATAACAACAACAATCTAAACATTCATTTACATATTACAATTTGAATTTATGTACAAAATGTTTGATTGACAAATATTATTTTAAGTTAACAATTCATATATACATCTATATATTTATTATGAACCATATTTAGTCACGATAAACATTATATTATTGGTTTATAAAATAAATTTACTTTTACTTACCACTTATAATTTTTTCTTCTGTAAAAGAAATGTAAAAAAAAAATAAAAATAATTATTATAATACATAAAATTATTAAATATATAAATAAATATATAAATGTTATAATTAAATAATTGACTTAAGTTGCAAATTATTTTTTCAAAACGTTTACGAATTATAATATATTTAATTAGCTTAAATATACATGTATAATTTGAAAAAACCATTCAATATTTATTAAACGACATTCTGACAAGTCTCAAAACGACCAACAAACATTAAAAACCAAGAAATAACTAAAAAGATAATCTTACTTAGTCGTTGACTAGATGATTTCTAATTTTATGTATAAATTTAAATATATAAAAAAATTAATATCAAATATTTGGATTTTAAACTGCAAATAATCATAGTAGATCAGTAAATGCAATAATTTTACATCGCGATAGGTATGATTGGTTTTTGAAATATAATTTTGCGGCAGCTTGACCCACCCGGTGACATAACCTATTCGTGAACCACCAATTGACAAAAGTTAAACTGCCTCTGGACGTCAAAACGGACGTGGTGCAGTTGATAACGAAGTAAATATACAAAACGCATACTCATCGTATTTTCTGCATCTGTCGTGATTTACAAAGAAATTGTTTTATGTACACACTTTGATACATCGGTTATCATAACAATATTTTTTTGTATCGAGTGCATTTTCGAATTCGCCGCCGATTTTTACCACTGTACAAGCAAACAGTACCGGCGAATGGGTTGCTCTGAACGTGCGCGGCGAACGACCGCTCATCATCCACGTCACTAAATCGAAAACAGCCGCATCGAACGACTCTGAATAGTATAAATTAACCCATCTGCCCACTTGCACCACTATTGCGGCTACACGCGTAAGCAGTGAGCGTATGGAAAAATTTTAATAATAAACCCCACTGATGATAAGGGTAGATAACGTCCATCCAACATTTCGACTCGTTGTCGAGGGTGAGGAAAATAAATAATCAAAAAACCCATTTTTCCTAAAGTCCTTTGCCTTAATTGATGATAGCGCCGAGTGTCAGATCCTGTCCAAAAAAAAAAAAAGAAAAAAAAAACGTCGACGACTAGATTTGTGTGCAACACACAATATTATTATAATATTATCAAGGCATAAATGAATTGCGAAAACTACGTGATGCAATGCGATTACCAGAGCGCAATTCGATTTTAATTTAACGCCCCAAAACTTTGATCATAAATCTCGTTTACCATGCCACTGTCCTAGTATTACGCACCGTCTATGCTCGTGTGGCGACCAACAGAAATCTACCTTTTCATACAGTCGATGCCCTTAGAATTTTCATTAAGTAAGTTTACCAAGAGAAAAATAACGAACAGTAACGAAAATATCCTCATGACGGCATGGGTTCAACTTAAACAGTTTCCGCATCTTACATAGAGGATATTATATCTATATCTATTATATATATAAATTAAATAATAATCAAAAACCAGTTTTGTTTCAAAATACGTAACATTTTTTTTTTATTCTGTACTCCGAGCGGTCGAAGCTTTAAGATTTGTCGCATATAATTATTTTTCCGGATGAATCGAAAACAATGTTAATGACAGACCCATGTTTACTGACGTCCCGGTAGATATCACATTAAAAATGCACCCTCATAAAATATGGTCATGGTTTTCAATTTAATACTTTACCCCAGACAAAAATATTAATATATATATAATAATTTCATGTTTTCTTAAATATAATTTAACTATTTACAAGACCTATTCTTCATTGAGTTGCAAATACAGCTTATGTGTTCAAAAAATACAAATTAATATTTCTAAAAAAATAAATATTAAATATGACCATAAATTATTAATTATTTTAGTACTACATTTTTTAACGTTTAACATTAAGGGGATTGTAAACCATGATTTTCTTTCTCTTTCTCTTTCACACGCGCAATATAAGGATTTAGACGTTTTCTATTTCCAATGTACCGATTGATCTATTGATGCGATAAGGATTTTGAAAACTGATTTAAATTCATCATAAAGTCTTCTTTAGATCGACATTCCCACTTTTTTGATTTTATCTCCCAAAATTTCAAAAAATAGGATTAAAAAAATTGGAAACATAAAAATTAATTTTTAGGTATACTCGTATTAAACACAAAATTTAAAAAATGTAAGAAGGTCAATCTAAAGAAGACTTTACGACGAATTCAAATCAGTTTTCAAAATCTTTGTCGCTTTAATAGATCTATCGGTAGGTATGTTGGAAATAAAAAACGTCTAAATCTCTATATTACGCGTGTTATAGAATGAGAAAGAAAAGCATAGCTTTCAATCCCCTTAATGAATAAACTTAATAGTTGTATCAATGAAACTATTTATTCTTCAATGACCATAAAAACTAAAATAAATATTGATGCACTAATCTCTACGGTTGGACAATAAATAATAAAGCAATATTTTATTAATATATAAATAAATAAACAAATAGTTTGAACACAGAAATAAATGCTTATCATGGAGTATAAATATTTTATTATTAAAATGTTGATGATTTTCAAATATAAATTTAGTAAGCTATTAAATAATAAATTAATATTGGTCATTCAAATTCCATATTTATTTCTGATTAGACTTGAATGTTCCATTAGCAATATAACTGTGTTGCTAATAGAACATTTGGGTATTTTAAAAATTTCATGATTTAATGTATTTTTTTAATAATTTTTCGGTATTCTTGAGTAAACCTTTTTCAGGTATTATTACATGATGTTAAATTATTTATGACATAATTTTTAATAGATTATAGATTTTTGACTAAAATTCAATTAATTATTTACAGAATATTATTCTAGATTATTTATCACATCTGAGTAATGAAAAACACACAATTACGATGAAATTTTTTTTATATACATATAATTGTTGATAAAATAAATGACAATTGATTTATAAAATAATACCTAATGCCTACGTTATATTTTATAATATTATTTTCCTTTCAGATTAATGCTTGATTTATAGTTTTAGCGCTATCTAACGATTTATACATAAACTATTAAAAGCATTATAATAACAATTCACATTAGTTATACTACTAGGTCCGCTTATTACGATGCCGTATAAAACGATATTCCGAAAAAAAAATGATTCCCATCAATGTATTTGGTCGATTTCATATCTCAGGTGTACTTATTTTGGTTGTATTAGTTTTACTTATAATATACGAGTATAAAATATAAACTAAAATGTACAGTATTGCAATAGTGTTTATGTTTTTAAAATTCTCAAATGTTTTTACTTGAGTTCTTGAATTTGAAATATGAAATTTGAATATAAATAATTATATTTATATAATATAATATAATATAATATAAATAATTATATAATAATAATAAAAATTTGAATATGAATTTAAATATTATAGAAGTTGTATTTAAAAATCTATAATTGTATTATATAAATATCATGTTTAATATTTCTTAAATGATAAAGAAATGTAAAGTTATATTAGCATCTACACAATGTATCTTAGTGAGGCTCAGTAATTTGTAAAAAGATAAAAATAAAAAAATAAAATAAAATAGTTATTATTAAGTTATGAACAAGCATTAAGTTTAAATGAAAATCAATAGAATCAGCTTAATAATAATCGTTTGGTAGAATAAAATAAACATTTTTGTAAAATCAATATGAAAATATGCTATAAAAAAATCAATTAAACTATTTTAAGTGAATGTCACAGTTCTTTATCTTAACGATGCTCGATTTGATTAACGACAGCGAGCACGCGGTTAATTGAACCGTTGAAAAAGGTTTACGTTGGTCGGAGACGATTTCTTGTGTCGACCGATGACGGTACTATTATCACTGCTCCCCGTGCAAATAATATTTAAATCGATATTGATAATCAACATTTACGCCAGGTATTATGTTAATAAATATCAATCGTTTTGTCATTGCAATCTAAACTCAATGACGAGACAATGGAATAGATAGCCATCTGTCAAGACGATGACATGTACTGGGTTTAAAGTAATCATGCACTTTTGGGCGTCAAAAGTTCTTTGGAGCGATCGGCGCGTTCGTCGCCAGATCACGAAATCCATCTCGAAACCCGTTCGACAAGACAAGATTGGAAAGGAAAATGTACTGTTACGCATAATCTCATACGCGCAGATAATGTACAAAACGTTTTGGTTTTTCGGGATCCGTTCGGGAAACGATTCCCGTACGGAGAAAAGGTGTACGGTAAAATTGATAGTAACAGCTCATCTTAGACACGAATCTTTGACGGCGCCCAATCGATATGACTCCGAGCGATTTCTGTCCACTGAACGCGAGACGCAATAAATGAATAACTCCTACGTGCCCGGTACATCGTAGGACATTATTACGGTGAACGACCAGGGAGGGCGCAGGCAAATATGCCTTTGAATATTTCTAGTCCAAATCCAAATATGGTGTATTATCCCTTGGTGAATGTTGTTGAAACCTGTCGGTAGAATTCCAGCCGTGTAGTGGTTAAAAAAAACCCAAAGATGATTTTCGTTCAAGGCGATAACAGCATCCTAAAATATTAATACCCCTCGGGCAGATCGTTCGACCCGGGTATAATGTACGACTATAATATTATACTTGGATCACGTTTAACCGCGGTGGTACTCGTGAAAATATCCGAAACAAAAGACTGTACCATAAATAATATTCCAGAAATAAATATCCGCGAACGAAAATATTCCCAAAGACGTAGGAGCCCGGAAAATTTCGTACGATAATGGAATGTCACGTGTAAAAATGAACTTAGCGCACTTGGACTTTACTGTAATTTATTGTTACTTAGCAAGAACTAGGTGTTTTGGACTTCTTTTCGTTAAACATGTTAATAATACTGTTTTCAATTTACATTACGTTATCATAATAATATTATACCAATAAATCTGCTCGACTGCAATTTCTCAACACTTGGTGTACATTAAATTGCGTTTCCGCAATGAGTAAGGCGTCCGTGTGCTAACCAAACGACAGA